GGCGGGGAGTGAGTCATGCTGCTTAAGGTTATCTTGGGCTTAGCAGCAACAGGACCTTGCACACACGTCCTCTCCACTCCACGGAGGGCAGGGCTCCCTGTTTCTGTCTCAAGCTCTGGCGAGCAAGTGAGAAAAGTAGCGGAGGATCTCGGACTCGCATCTGTCCATTGGCAGCTGGGATGATGCCTCCAGCAAGTATTTGTAAACCAGTAAGCGCTGTTTTGACTTAGAGAAATATTACAATTGCCGGTAGTTGCTGCGTACAGCTGTTTTCCCTTGTCGTATATTATGATGTATACATTTTCGTGGCTAAGTCTTTGGTGATTCTGGAGAGATGTAACGGGTCTTTCTTTTTCAGCACAGAACAGCTGGGCTTTCTCCAAGCAGAGCATTTTTCAGCAGTACATGGCACTTGCTCTTCTTTCTGCAGCTCAGAGAAATTTGTTCCAAAGCGCAAGCATAAATGTCAGTCATGTGAAGGGGGTGAATTTTACCACAATTAAAAAATGGATCTTAAAAAATAATGAAATTAATAATAGACTGTGGACTGAATACCTAGAACCAGGGAGTCTGGGTGCTGCTTCAGGCTTGTCCTTTAAGTAGCAGTATGACCTTGGACGAGTCAAGTAAATTCTGTGTGTGTTTTAGTTAAAGGAGATAAATTGAGCATGAGCCGGGGGCCCTTTTCAGTGAGATGTGTTGATTCTATATTGTTAAGCATAGGCATTTTCCTTTTTCGGCATCACCTACTTCTCAAACCAGTGAAACTCACGGAATATTTGAGTTTCACCATGTAGATAACTTAGAAAATAATCTCATGTAACTTGGTATTGAGATTGATATCAGAATAGTCTTGAACAAGTTGCATGTGAACCAGTAATGGTATTTCCTAAATGCCTACCAGGTGGGAGGCCGAGGGGCTGAGGGAGGCAGATAGGAGCAGAGTAGGAAAGTCAGTCCCCAGTGCAGTAAATTGTGAACAGTCATCCTTGATCACTGAGACCTGACTTGGAGGTAGTCTCAGCCAGGGCAACTGTTGATCTGATTACCTGGGGTATTTTAGGATGGCTTTCTATGATACAGTTCTTTTAACCACCAGTAACTTACAAAATGACTCCCCTCATCGATATTAGCCATTCACCGTACTAGTAAAACATGTTTCCAGTGTTTTACATTTCCAACAGCACCAGTGATCTAAAATATAGCCAGAGACCTCAGAGTAAGCAGGTATGTCTCAAAAACCTCAGAGCCAAAGGAAAATTGTCCGCATTCTTGATACCTTTACTTCTCACCCGCAAGGTGTTAACAGTAATTTTAAATTAAGGGTGATCATGGAGGGCAGCTGATTAAAGGTTGGACTCTGCCAGAGGGGATGTGATGCTTTAAGAAAGCACTTAAGGGCATTCCCTGATGGCACAATGGGTTAAGGCGCAGCACTAGGAAACTAGCCACAGCCATTTCATGATTCAATCCCCAGCCAGGGAACTGACCAACATGGCATAGCAGACCTCTTCTGTCTCACCCACTGCTCCCCTCAGCAGTGGATTTCATCAATTTGCCCATTCTGCTCCCCATTCTGTCTCTGGTGAATCCTCTCACCACCCCTGCACCTCTGGCCTGTACCCTAGTTCTGTAGGCATAAATAAATAAATCTTTAAAAAAAAAAGAAAGAAAGAAAAAGAAAGCATTTAAGCTCTGAGTTGCAGGGAGGTGGAGGCAAAGGACTGAACACCCAGTGTCTGCACAGCCCCAGGCCGAAGTGGTGGGGATGACAGAGGTAACATCCTGCTTAGCCTTAACATGGGGGTCTCATATGAGGTCAGTGGGTCAATGCATATTAGAATGAATTTCATTGGTTCTCTTTCCTCACATTTTCAGGCTGCAGTGGGTAAGCTTAAGTGGAGACGATGTGAGACTCTGCATTCATGATTATGCCATATGAGTGGAGACTTGGCTTCATACTTTCCATGAATCTTGTAGTATCCAGGATCAACCTATGCATGGATTGTATTGGTAGATTTTCTCGAATTCATTCAAAGTGTTTCCTTTCTCTGTATTTCACATAAGTGAAATACCAATGTGTCGGTGTATAAACTTGTTTTGTTTAAGACTAAAATTTGTATAAGGGGGCCTTCCTGGGGGTGCACTGATTAAGTCTCAGCACTTTTACCACTACAGCCTGAGTTTGACCCCCGGCCAGGGAGCTGACACACAGGGCATAGTAGACCCCTCCTGTTTTGCCTGCTGCTCCCCTCAGGAGTGTATCCCAGTCAGTCTGCCTGTTCTGTGCCCTACACTATCTCTGGTGAGTTCTCTCACCACCCGTACCTCTAGCCTGCACCCCAGTCCTGCAATAAGTAATGTTATATAAGTAAAAAAAATCTTTTACTAACAACATAAGCTCATAATAGCAATATATTAAAACCCTAACAATAGCAGTTTTATCAGTATAATAGATGGATTTTTGGTTTTTTTTATTGTAATAGTTTATTTTTTACATCATTTTGTGCCTTTTTCCATCTCAGTTGTAATCCCCATGAACTTTCCATCACCAATTTACCTGTGTGCCATCACCATAGTCCT